GAGCGCTATATACTAAGCAAATAGAAAATAAAATACATATACTCAACATCACTAATTCTGCGTCATCACTTATTTCACGGTAATGGCATATTTTCATGTGACCAGTGTTAAATTTGTTTAGAATTGACATATTTTATTCGTACACCTATACAACAAAGTTTACAACAATAATCAAACCTAGGCTCTTTTTTAATTTTTAGTGTTCATTGTTTTACCATTAATTTTAAAAGGAATATCATATACAATAACTGTAAAAGTTATTTATATCAATTTTATAGGAAACTAATTCATCCGACAATTCATCCAATGAATCTTTTTTATTTTTTCAACAAAGACTATAATAAATATGGATCAGTTTCAGTCTACACAATTTATCATAAGTTAATACATCAGTGTGATAAAATATCATAATTATACTCTTAATCTAATTGTATTGTAGTATATGGAACGCCAAAGCTGCCTCATGTTATTACATTTCATTTTTTTTCATGCTTAGAAAGTGTCTTATAATGTCAAATATTAGCGTTGTGTTGCCATAGTATTTTGTTGACTTGTCTAGACATTGCCTTATTATGCGTAACAGTAGTCTTATCTCTTCAATATGTGATGTTGACTTGTCTTAACATTGTTTACATTGTTTAATTACTTCAAACAGTAGTGTTATCATGTCTAAATGTCGTTTTGGCTTGTCTGAAATGTGTCATATTGTGTAAACTAGTCGCGCTATTTGGTCAAATTGTGGAGCTGTTTAGTCAAAAGACTGTCTGATCATTTGAAACATTAGTGTTCTCTTGTCCAAATTACAGTAGTGTTCTCTTGTCGGAATTTGGTGCTGATTTGTCAAAGCACAGCTTTATTCTATCAAACTGCTATGTTCTTTTGTCAAAATATGGTATTTAAACCCCTTAACATTGTCTTATTGTGTCAAACAGAAGTGTTAATTTGCCAACGTACACTACTGAATTGTCTTATTATATCAAACATTCGCATTATCTTGCCGAAATGGGGTGTTGACTGGGCTAAATCATGCATTATGATGATAAACTGTATGCTATTTTGTCAAAAGCGGTTTTGACTGGATAAAACTCAGTCTTATAAAGTCAAAACATTGCGGTATTTTGTAGAACTGCGGTAATGACTTGTCAAAACTCTTTCTTATAATGTAAAACAGAAGTGCAATAGACCTTTATACGACGCGGTCCGTTGCTATGAAAAATCGACTGGAAGTAGTATTTCCCCGCACATGAGCAATCTGCGTAGGGCAAAAAAGCATAGTCTTACATAGAAATGCAGAAGAATTTCATAGACAATTCCGAGTTAGTTTAAGGTAAAAGGTAAAAAATTATATAAAATAGCTTTAAACTTTAGCTTGTTGCCAAGATTGCCATAAAAAGGGATTGAAAAGGAAATTGTTTAAGAATTCACCCTTACATACGGTCACAGATATATAAACAATATATTATAAGTAAGTAAGTAAGTAAATATTTTGTTATAGTGACATGTGTATGACAGTTTACAAATAACGAAATTAAATAATTTAACTTAACACCCGGCCCAAATTAGCTCCATGATACGGTGGGCCCGCTTGCGGTCACGGACCTGACATTGAGATTTTTTTAAAGAAAATTTGGAATTATATCTTTTATTCAAATGGGAGTCAAATAAATTGTTGTTGAAATAGTTCATAAAAAAAGATAAAAGAAATTTTATAACATATAAAATCGAGTTAAATTAGCATTCTGAAAATAGATAGAACAGGCCCGGTGATAATGCATTTTCAGTGTTCAGTTTACCTGATTTTATCCTTTATTTGACTGTGATACAAAACAGATAATTTTCAAGTCACATAAATATATTTTAAATTGTTTGTTTTTTTCCAAAATTTTTAAGGAAAGTGAAATAACACTCATTTTATCCGGTTCCTCGTAACACATGTTAATATTTTTTAATGCAAGTCACACTAATTGTCACTTCACAAATCAATAAACATTGATGAGATCGGTATATATAAAAGTTACTTAAATTACGATTTTCATAACTGTACGTGATTAATTATGTCATATGGTTCTCAAAGGTCCCGGATACAATATCTAGCTGAAAACACACATGCAACCACGGTCGCGTGTCAATCTGTTTGACACCACCTGGTCGTACAATACACATTGTGTAATATTATGTAATACAGGGGTTATAAAATTTAATCTTGAACACCCTGCTGTTTAAATTTAAATTACGGATGAAAAGTCGTCTAATGATACCTTATACATACGTCTTTTGTATGCGCCTTTTGATCATTGGATTATTAGTCCTGCATATATTTATTATATCTGTTATAAATATCAATTGACGTTTTAAGTACTAACCGCATTAAACCATCCCAAAATTACTGTTTTCTGGTTGATATAACATGGAATCACGACTATTAAAAGCCTTAAAGTATCATACACTGTTGTCAATTTTATTGCGCTTTTGCCCTACGCAGAATGCGCATGCGCGAAATGCAACATTGGTTGCTATGGAAGAATCGTATATATTGATAATTCGTATTCATATAAGGACATCTGGTTCCATATAAGGTTACTTTGATACCATAATTATATTGAAGAATTGGTACATGTATCGTATACTGAGAAAACCAACTTATATATATCTACCTTTGTTTCATACACTGGCGGCATGGTTTCATATATTGTACTTTGGATTTATAAAATAGTTTCCGATTTAATAAGAAGGCGTTTTCAATTCATATATTGTCGAAGTGAACTTATATAGTATCCAAATGGTTAAATTAATGGAAAAATAACAATATGAGACAGCCATGGCTTTCCATAGTAATGCATTTTCTGTCTTCTTTGAAATGTCTCTCGAACGTATATCCTAATATGATACCGTACATAAATGTGTTCCTTCTTATATTATGTAAGTATAAGTTAATGTCAATATGATGTTTTGGTACGCTCTTTTTCATCTTTGAATAACATAACGTGGCAAAAAACTAACAATTGCAGTCTAGTCTATGATATAGTAAAATGCGCGTCAAAAAATCGGCCAGTAAGTATAACACTATTAAATAATATTAAATATCTGATATGAAACAATTGAAAGTTTAAAGAAAATGTTTAAATGGTTTTTAAGACTAAAAATGCAACAATATGTTAGTTTATCACAAATGTAATGGTCACATTTGGTGTACTCCTATACTCGATGCTAAGGTTATTGCTATGTGAATGGCATAAAAGATCGGCGATTCAGTTGTTTCCATATACTCAGCTCAACTCAATTCATTTATTTCATGATATAAAAATATGAAAACAATCTCTTGGAAATATTATAATTACAACAAAATTACATGAAAATTGCAGATTCTGTTTGATTGTGTCTGTACATGAGGGATAATGAAAAGGTGCAATATCCCTCACGCCGTCTAGCACCGGCTTTTGCTGTTCCACCCAACGACACAAACAAGTTAAGATGATGTGGTGTTAAAAAAAGTAAAGAACGACCACAACGGCAAAATTGAAAATGTCGAAAGCTCGGTTTGATTGAGCCTACTCATGGACAGTTCTAAAACATACAGTTACACCCCCGCAGCACCGGCTTCAACAGAATTCAACATTTTACATGAAATAGCAAAATTTTGAATTTCAAAACATAAGTTGATGTGTTAATACGGCGGATAATCATTGAATCTTCAAAGAGACACGTCGGTGCCATTCCATGAAAGTAAACACATTCGTGTGCCCTAAACGAGAAAACAATTGACCTTGCAACATTTTCAGTTCCGCCGTGCTTAGCGTATTCTTAGTTAATATATTTGCTTATTTTTCACACAAATCGATTTACAAAACACTTTTTGTCAAAATGTGTTAATAAATGCATGTCTCTGTTATTTTCTATATGGATTCTATTCATAATCGTCATTAAATATGTTTTTCAGCGCACCAGAGCCGAAGGCTCAGGGTGAGTTATTAGTATCAAAGGAGGATACTCCGGCGTCCGTCCTTCTTCTCTGAAATTGCTGGGCAGATTGTCTTCAAATTTGGTCACTAGCATTCTTTTGACAGTCACACTTCAATTTGCCCCTTTTAGGGGTCAACAGGGCTAAGCATAGAAAATTCTTTAAACATCTTCTACTACAGAACTAATTGATGGATAATCACCAAACTTTGTCTTTAGCATTCTTTGGTAGTCTATATTTAATTTGCTCATATTAATTTGATTGGTCCCTTTTAGAGGTCTCTAGGGCTAAAAATAGAAAAAAACCTTTAGACATCTTCTTCTACAGAACTAATGGATGGATGATCACCAAACTTTGTCTGTACCATTCTTGGGATGTCTTTTATCAATTTTGCTATTAATTTGATTGGCCCCTTTTAGGGGCCACTAAAGCCAAAAATATAAAAAAAAACTGTCCTACTGAATAATTGATAGATGATCACCAAACTTCGTAGCATTATTAGGTAGTCTTTTATCAAGTTTGCTTATATTAATTTGATTGGCGCCGTTTAAGCTAAAGCTTAATCGTTCCAGGTCATGGCATTTCTTCAAATTATTGTTTAAACATATTCTATGCTCATATTTAATATCAGAAATTATTAACAATGGATAATTTCCAACTCCGAAAAGCAGTTGTTTCTGGTGAGCGACTCAGGGCCCTCATGGCCCTCTTGTTTGAGCGTATTTTTTTTCTTTTCATCATTCTTTAAATTTGTCTTAAGTCGTTAAAGTTTAATATAGATATGCGATCTAGTTACAAATTTGTCTCATAAAAACATGTATCTTATATGCTGAACTAAATTATATGATACTCCCTTTGCTTTGCAGTTTTGCCAACAATTAATATATGAGTAGTCTTCCCAAATCACGGAAATATACGTTTAAAATATGACGGTACTGTTTGATAAACATTTCCTTTTCAAATTTGATGTAGATAAATGTTATCATACAAGTCATTCAAGCATGGCTTATAGTTATATTATACCGACAATATATATGCTACAAAAAGCTCTAAATGTACAAACTGTTTCTAATGTCATATGTAATATTAACTTTCATGTGCCTTCTGTTGCATAACTTGAGGATACAAATTATAGACAAATAATTTATTTCGGGATGAATTAAACTGCAACAACGCTACAGGGACATAAATAGCGACACACTTTAAGTTCAATATAAATTACACTTCAACGCTACTATTAACATAATTTGGAGTAAACAAGAAACTATTTTACAAAAGTATTCGCCAGGGAGAGCATCCAAGCGTTTAAGGAAGTGGTAAGTCAGTTTAGTCTACCAAAACTGCATTTGGAACTGCCTCGGCTATTATCTATAATAACCTCGGAAACAATACGGATTGAAAGTAGTTCTTCCACACTGTTTCAGATGTAAACGAAACAGAGATAATGTAAAACGAATGTATACATTTGACATCTAATGTATGTTCCGGTACTTTTATGCTAGAAAATATGACTGACAACAATTTGTAATTTAAATATGCTCACTGATGTTCAATTTCAAACAAATCCGACTAAATGTCAACAGGTTGTTTTTTTGTACTTTCGGTTTCTACAACCATAATAATGAATATATTATAGATAATGTATTGTTTGCTTTTGTACCTATGCTTTCACTTATTTTTGGTGGACTTTTACTACATATTTTGGCAATAAACTTGTCAACAACTACCAGCATTAAATTACTATTTGTTTACATGTTTAGTTTCTTAGCGAAGTTTAGACCGTAATTCCGCATCCGCTCTGTGTATTCATACTATTGTGTTCGAGGTACTTATCCGAAGACTGACGGAAAGGGCCCAGTAGTTGCGATTGCCGAAACCGCAGGCTGTGGTCCGTTTATTTTTTCGTACTGACATGGATAACCCTTTTAATGCAGTTAGGTTTAGAAAGGTGTGTACAAACTGTTCATGGACGCTAGCACCGGCTTAAGCAGAATTGAACATTAATCATGATCTAATTTCCCAAATATTAAAATCTGTCTTTAACAAACAACTGTCATTATTCCCAAATACTTCAATTAAAAAAAGATAACATGAGGTTTTTTTTTTGCTGTTTCATTTATGATTCTTTATTTCATTAAGCTTGAAGCGCTTAAACCATTGACATGAAAGAAAGGGACAACCTCAGGAGGGCAATTACGTAATTGGAAACTCTGTACATATTATTGCATAATAGGTATAATAAAATGGTAATTATGTGTTATTTTGTAGCATGCACAATCTGCAATCTGTTAAATGGTGATATTAAATTTATATTGCATATATTTCGTAGGTGATACCTTAAAGTGCAACAGATCATTTGTTGCGATGTGTTCTTGAAGTGAACTTGACAAACTATCAATATATTTAATAAATGTATATCTAAAGTTTCCATGGTTATGCAAGAGTTAATTTACTGAACTGCATAGGTCTGTGAATAACATCGAAATAAACGTGTGAGAGAAGCAAAAAGAAAAAGAAACTGTTGATCGTGACGAACTTTAAATATACACTTCAATGCGCAAATATGGTAGGATAAATGTTGACATATACATATAGTTTTTAAAGTATTGCGAAACAACAATTAGTTACATTTCATTTACTACTCTTAAGAATTCGTGAATTAAAAAAAAATAATGAACTTTGAAACAATTGCCTCCAAGGTCTGAATAGTTTTATTTATATTCACTATGTAACTTTTTGACATAAAACCCCATACCCAAATTTAATCATATTCATTTTTTTTATAAATTTAAGGGATACTCCACTGAGATTTTTTGACATGACGGGACTTGAATTAAAAAAAAGTTTTATTTAATGAAGGTCCAGACCACAAAAATCAGAACGTTTGCTCAAACAGTTTTTCTAGAATAATTGTTCTAATGACCTAACATTATAAAAGCTTTGCACCACTTTTAAGTAAAACCGGACTAAGGATAGCATTAAAATGATTAAGAAGGAAAATATGCTGTTTTATCTAATAGATATACGCCACAATAAATGTATATCGGGTCTTGTCTTTATGAAAAAAATTAACAAGTCAAGAAACATACATACCATAATAAATATTTAAAAAAAGAATTGACTTTCTTTAATTTGGACAAGACCAATTATGGAAATTTTCAAAATAAGGGCTGCCTGTATATCGAATAACGTACACTGATAGATGACTTCTTTAATGTTGAGGTTAATAGATCAAAACCTCAAGGCCACCGTAACATTGGACACAAAATAAACATCAGGCCAATTGCTAAAGGAAGTCTTCAACCATGTTCCTATTGACAATAAAAAAGAGGTCATCTTATCACCATTTACAATGTCTATATGAAGTTTCACAAAAATTCCGGTTATCGATTGAGTAAGGATTTTACACAGGGTGTCGCTGGGATATTCACAAATGACCTCTACATTAATAGGATTCGTCTTATGACCAGAGCAATGTCTTTAAAAAGTTTCGCTTTTATCAAATACTATTGGTTATATGCTATACAAAACAAATCAGAAATGTATGCCAAAGAGACTTTTGGTCTGATGATTATTTAGTGACCAATGTTACGGTGACCTTGAGGTTTTGATCTATCAGCTTCAACATTTAAAGAGGTCATCTATCAGTCATACACAACCTCCATCTTTCATATAAGGACTGTAGACCATAGCGTTATAGTGGTGGTCAATGTCACTGGGTCCTGTAATCTTCACCTTGACCTACTGAACTTAAAATCAATCATCTACGAGCTAAAGGCAATAACAAATTTAACAAACTTAAGTTTATTACTTCTCTCAGAATGACCAAACAAAGATAACAGGACATACAAACGAAAGAGCCACCACATCAAAGTATGCTCCCACGTTTAAAGTAATGGGGTATAGAAATTCAATACATTCAATTAGAAAAGTTATGGTCTACTTGAGATAGGACTAAAGGCAGCCATGCTGTATTTTAAAAATATTTCCTAGCTATTTCAGAAAAGTTAGAAGAGGCTACAGGAAGTGAACTACATGCGGTCATATTGCTTGTCTGATAAAAACAACGACTAAAATAGTTGAGTTTTATGATGTTTTAACTTTATCATTGCTCAAAAACTAGAAATAGAAACTAGAAGATATTGAAATATTCCTGTTAAAAATAGAATTTGCAAATGATGTCTATTAACAAGATATTGAAACGGAAGAACACGTTATGTTAAGATGTCATTTTTATGATTTTGCAAGACCGCTCTAAATATCGCATATATCTGAAAAATTGACAAACTTTAAAACTACAAAAAGGTCAGAACAGTTTGTGTATATGATGGTTTGTTAGAATACTTGTCCTATTAATGCTGTAGCAAGTTTGTCCATAAATGTTTTTTGTCTAGACTCGAATTTCTAAAAACTGTTGTTTCATCTGGTTGAACTTATATAGCGGATTATTATTTTTGGCTTACTAGTATTCATAGTGTCACTTTTATTCAATGTTGTCATTTAATGCATGCCTTGGTTAATTATTGTTACAAAATCTTTTGTTTATTGTGTTTGCTAAAAATACTTAAGCTTAGTTGTTATGTTTCAACTTAGTTCGTGCATCTTGTATAGTATCGTTATTATAATGTGATTATTTGCCAATTTAAGGCCAATGACTGGAAAGCTTTTTATTATATTCTATTCTATTTTATGGTTATCATGGCCTTCTCTTTTCAATAAGTTGAAAACTTTGTGATCGTAAATGACAACAACGACAACACAGTCATTGGTCATAATAGAAGAAATGAATTGCTTATTGTCCTCTATCTCGTGATCCACAAGGTACACGATAACAACCAATACATACCTGTGTAGGGTAATTCAATACCTACACAACGGTGTATAAATGTACATGTAAGACTTAGTGTAGGACATACAATTTGCAAAATTTAAATACACGCAGTCATTGACCACTGAAGTAAAAAATGGTTTGTACAAGTGTCGACAAAAAAGATGAAATACGGGCATACATCAAAATTCGCTCAAAACTGGGTTGCTTTTTGAAGCAGTTTGATGACAGAACTCTCTACTGCTTATGGCCCTTCTTGTGTGTCTTATGACACAGTTAGGCGATGGAAAAAGAAATTTGAGTCTGGTGTAGAGTGCATCAAAAAATGCACAAAAATTATGTAGGTCAAAATCTGATATTTGTAACCAAATCGTTTCCAAAATAAAGAATATCATTGAAGGAGATGCCAGATTTACAGTTCGTGATATTGCATGAAAGGTAGACATATCACTATCAACGTTTTACTTTATTTCGAAGAAGCATTTAAAAGTCGGAAAGATTTCTGCTAGATAGGTGCCACATCTGTTGACCGATAAGCAAAAGAGACAACGGGTTAAGGTGGCCAAAAAGCTGCTTCAAATGTTTCCAAAATATGACAAAACAGTTTGCTAATGTCGTCACATGTGATCAAACTTGGGTCAATTATCTTGAGCCAGTCAGAAAAGTTAGCAACAAAATCTGAGCCACTGAACATAACAAACGCCCAATAATTGCTAAACGGTCTTTGAGTGCAAAGAAGGTTTTGCATGCAATCTTCTTCTCTGGTGAAGGAGTCGCAATAAAAGTGCCGGTGAAAAGGGCAAAAGTATCACTGGGAAGTATTACAAGACGTAGTTCTTAAGAAACAGAAAAAGTATTATAAGAAACGACGCCCTGTCACTGGTTTTAACTTTTAAGCATATCAGTCTTCTACATGACAATGTCCCCGCTCATACCTTCGCAATAGTTTCGGCGTTTTTGAAAACAAAAATTAACTGTTTTGCATCACCCCCGTATTCTCCAGACCTTGCCCCATGTGATTTCTTTTTGTTTCCGAAATTGAAATCCTTCCTTGCAGGGCGGAAATACAAGTCCTGACAAGCACTTGGATCTGCCATTCATTAGAATATTTTTACTGTGCCAAAATCAGCGTACCGTGACACCTTCAAGAAGTGAATACATCGGCTGAAACTTTGCATTTCTAACCACGGGGAGTACTTCGAGAGCATGAAATGAACACTTTTGAGCTAACTTGAAATTTGAAGTCTACAGATAGAAATAAGCAATACATTACGAACATCCCTCGTAACACAATCAATACTGTCTATAGACCAGTCTCTGTACGTTAATTATAAATATGTAACCTCAAAGACGCTAAGTGTTTCCTTTATATGTCCCTTTCAATGTTGTTTTATTTTACCTCGGATAAAGTGAATACAATTTGATACTCTCTGATAACAAGTTTTATTCTTATTTCTTGATAAATAATTTACAGCCTTTGTATGACCAATTATTTACATATGTCAATCATGTCTTGTTTAATAGGTTCGCACTATGAGACGACTGTCCCGTTGCAACTTTTGTAGAGTTCGTCTGCAGGGAAATATTATGGTTTATATAGCTGCGATAATAATAGTGATCTTTCTCGCTCCAACAGAATTTCATCTTATTTCCAGTCTAACCTCTTTTGTAAAGGTAATATATCTCCATGTATATTTACACACATTTCAAGAATAACCTCTGTTTTAACAGTAATATTACTTTCTATATATTTAAACCCACCTACAGTCTAACCTCTGTTTTAAAGGTAGTATAACTGTCTATATATCTAAAATCATCTCCAGTCTAACGTTTTATATACGATAGAAAAAAAACAGAATCCTTAAAGAACGCGCTCAAAAAAAATGTATTCGAATATAAAGCAATGAGACAATGCAAGGGTCATATAGTGAAATAAGGTAAGATAAACATCGTCATTTAAAATTACGACTGTGCATTAGAACCACTCGTTCATTTCTAACTTATTTTGTCTATTTATATTAAAGTTTAGATATACTTCTTGATATTTATAAATATACTAGTTTTATAAACCGAATATTTTTATCATTTCAGCAAACTGACGTTATTGAACAACTAGAAATAAATGTAACACACTTGACAAATCGAGATGTGACTGCAAAAATCGTGCCACCTTTTATAAAAACTAAAAATGGTCGAATATATTTATTTTCTGCCATTATTGCCTATATAGAAAACGATCAGGCATTTAAACAAAATCAAAAACAAAATATTACTGAAGTATCCCCAACTGCTATTGTTGCTGGATGGGAACATAAAAACGGATCCTCTTCTGATTTTAAATGTTGCTTCAGATTAAAGAATGGCACGTTCGTTTCCGTTCTATCTTGGAATAAATCTCATTGGTTATTTCTAGAAAACGTTACTTTACAGGCAAAAGCAGTTCAAATGCCCAGTTAACTTTGATATTAACGATATTTCTTCGATCACTATTTTAAGTGATAAAAATGCAACTTGTCCAGAGGAAAACGTATTCTACATCACTACTACAATCATTAAACATAAAAGACGTCCTAAAAATATAAGAAATCGGAATGTTGGTGTCTGTGTAAAACTTACATTTGGATCTTTAGATGCACAAAGACTTATAGAATGGTTTGAGATCCATAAATTATTTGGTGTTGACAAGGTTATAGCATATACCTACCAATTAAATTTAAAAGCAGCTAAGGTTCTGAGATTTTATGAAAGAAGTGGAATGGCTCAGGTTTATGACTTTGACCTTCCAGAGAAAGGTAAGAATTCTAGAGAATGGTTAGGCATATACACATATCAAATCAAGTAAATGAAACATTCAATGGTAGATATTCAACATATTATTTAAAGAACATTCAAAAAAGAACTATTCATTCAATATTTTTTTTAGAATTATGACCGATTTTACGAAGTTATTCAGGAAAGACGTCCTTATAATTTTTTGTTGTTGATGTTGTCTGTTCAGAATTATTTAAATATTATTAAAATATATCGTTACTCATATTGCCCTGTACGCAACAAATATAATCTCGTTCACCTTGCCAGACGAACGGACAGACGATGCTATTTTGATATCCCTCTCCCGTCGAGGGATAAAGAAGCTAGCTGGCAGACAAATATAATTTGTAAACCATAAAACAATTTTCTCAATTATACTTGAACGAATGAGTTTATTTGACATTTAACGACTTGTTAACGACTTGTTAAGGAATATTTTCAGATATCGTAAAACGCAGCATTGGTGATGAGGACAATCAATACTGGAATGATGAACAAGTGGTGTTATTTGACTGCCAGGAACGACTAAGGCATTATGATTATGTTGCAGTCATCGACACAGATGAGTTCTTACTACCGAATACGAAACATTTCAAAAATGCTTGGAAAATATACCTAGTAAGTCATTTTTAAAGTCACATTCGTCATATAAATAAATATATAAAAAAATTGTATGCTATGCACATTATTATTTACTCTATTGAAACTGGCTTTATGTCTGGATCATTAACATAGAATGAAAAGTCAGTATTACATATATAAATCAAAACCATTTCAAAATTATTAAACAAACTTTCTTGCATATCAGACTGGTGTTTCCGTTAGTTCTACCCATTCCGGAAATTTCATCTAATATTTGAGGGGGTACCAAATGAGTCGCGTGCTATACAATGGCATGCTTAGCATGGCATAATTTTGCAGAACAGCGTATGAAATTACAACTTCATTCATAAAGTTCTAACTTTACGAATGAAGTTGTAATTTCATACGCTGTTGTAAGAGAAACAGTACAGAGTGTTTTGACAAAAATTTGCATGGGAAATTTTTCATTAAAAAAAGGAATTTAATATATATTGAAACATGCAAGAAAAATATCTGACATATGTTTGCGGTTCGGATCGGAATATGCGTCCCTCGCAGACCCGCCCATATTCCGATCCGAACCGTCATATTATTAATACATCTTATTCTACGAATATGTAACTGGTACCAATGCCGATTTTTTTTACGCATAATGCCTACTCTAAAGCAAACATCTTATGCATCATTTGTTCTTTTTGTGTTTTCTAGGAAAATAAGTTCAGTACAGAGAATGTTGGGGCGTTGTTATTTTTCGTTAGAATCCATGCATATACGTGGGGCCCGTCAAACAAAAACCACCCGCTTCATATCGGACGATATAGCAACTGTACATTTCCAATGTTGGATAGACCTAAGGGTGTATATATGCCATCTCGAATACGACAAGGAAGTGTGTGGACACATGTAGCTAAACCGTTACAAGGTTTTACTAGGTACTTGAATCATCTTTTCTAAATCCCTAGGCTCATTAATTAAAGTAAAATTAAAAAAGATGGCAAACTAATATGTAATAACTCTTACCATAATAATGAAAAAGAAAAATGACAATCATTAAACAACAACATGCCCAACTAATTTATAAAAGCCATTTCTTTTTTTCCAGTTATATGGAGAATGTGAATGAAGCCGTTATACATCATTATAGACATTGTAGAAAGGAATGGTTGAATACAACTACCAAACATGTTCGCCGTGCAGACAAGTATCTGTTTTACATGACAAACACCATTAAATGTACTGACTTTCGCCGATCTCATTCCGATGTTATTGGTCAACTTGCTGATACTATCAAATACGACGTTTTTAAAAGACTAGAAGAGATAGAACTGTGAATTGAATGTCATTCCTTGGAAATTTACATAATTCAGAACATCAGTGTTTTACTCCTTGTTATTATTTTTATATAGTGGATAAATTTACATATTGTCCGTCAATTATTGATGATCATTCATATAAGATATTAATAAAATACATCTTTGTATGTACATGTATGTGTGTATAATAGACAGTACTGATTTTGTGAAATTTTGAATCCAAGGGTTTTATGGTTAAAATGGTATCTTAAGTGTTTCAAACTAATACGGGTATGCTAAAGATAAATAATGTTGACCTTTAACCTTGGCGTTCAAAAGATCAAATCAAAATTGCCGCTTAGAAATGCAAAAATTTGTCTGATTTCATACTTCTAAAGGAATTACATGTTCCAAAAGCTATGGCGGATAAAAATGGAAACACTAAATTGACAGATGGAAATAGATATAAGCAAGCAACTAGGTTATGATTAATTTTAACCAGTGATGGATAGGGATTGACTGGCTTGTAGATTTTTCAGCGATTTCGTTAATTCTGTCCACATTGAAAGACCTTAGAATTTCGCTACGGAATAATAAGGCTATGAGCGAATCATGACATGATCACATGAGGAATTTCAACCGTTTTTAAATCCTTTGTTAGGTTTATCAAAATATACCGCTAAAACCTTGCCCTGGAACTCAAAAATCAAAAGGGGCAGCCGGGATGCTTTCAATTTAATGTTTGCATGACACCCTTATAGATGCCAGTGATTGAATGGTGATAAAATGGGAAGCGTTTTGCTTGACGCTACATAGCAAACTCTACATTATTATGTAATTTTGCATGATAATGTTGAGTAACAGTCATATATTTCTTGATACGATAGGACATATGAGACTCCGAAGTTGTATCTCTAACCATTTAGTTATGGTGGGGTAGGGGTAGATTATAGAAACGCTTTGCTTAATGTTAGGAGTAATAATAGCTGCAGAAAATGCGCTTCAAATATAACAGTTTTATTGGGTTTTACTTTGGCGACGCGGGCTTCAAATAACAGTTTCTGTTAAAGCAGCACATCTCAAGATGCATGTTTTTCATATATATTTTTTTCTATTATACGTATGGTATATATATTTTTCTCAGAAAATTTTACATCACCAGTTCGACACCGAAATATTTAACAACTAAAAGGAGAAGAAATCTTTAAGACCTAGTCTTTCGTTCTAATCCTCTTCTTTGAATATTGTCAAATTTTGTATGTGTATATATTTCAAATGTTATTATGTACATATTCTGAGAATAAATATGTTTAAACTAAGATTCATGTTTATTTTCATGAAAATTTTGAAAAAGTAAAATATTGTGAAGTGAACAAAGAAAATAATTTTTACATTGCAAACAGCATAAATAACCCATGTATATTACCAAAAAGAGGTCGAAATATGCAAAAATAGCCCTTACTGCGTTAGTAACGCAGTAGAAATATTGGGGAAAATACTGCAAAATCGATCATAAATCGCTCATAACACAGAAATTATTGCTTTTATCTTGAATCTTTTCATTTGTAAAATTCTCAGTACTTTTTACTCAAGTTTTCTTGTCTAGAAACATTTTAGCTCATCTGGAAGTATGGAGCTTTAAATACTAAATATGGATGAATCTGTAAGAAAATGGTAACAAAAGAAAATTAATTCTATATATAAATATCTGACATATGTTTGCGGTTCGGATCGGTATATCCGCTCAATGGATGGATAACCCTCTGGACGGATATTTCGATCTGAAATCCAACATATGACAGGTTTTACAAATCTGAGCATTAGAAAATAACGGCATACCTTGTTTGAACACATTGGGATGCCATTGTATCGTTGCATAAGAGCTGCTTAGCATTCCTTTTCACCAAAATAGTCTGAGAAAGTCGATTTATTTTCTAAACAAATGACTAAGCTATGCATGTTATGGACACATGTAAATAATATTCATTCAATAAAATAACAAAATATGTGTAGAATATATAAAGATTAAAAAATATAAATAGCTAGATCTAGTAATAACACCTTTACAATTTCTATAAGTCCTCTTAGGCGGTCGGATCAACAGACGTGACATGTTCATACTCAATCACGGGGGAGGAAGTGTTACACGAGGGATGGAGTTCTTATGATTACTTGTCAAGGAGTTATTGTGATAAGTGTCACAGACTTTGCGGAAAACTATTTTAAATACTGCAAAACACTCTTCAAAAATGGTAATTTTCATATTTAAAAAGTGCGTTTTAGGTGATAAATTAAACTTTAATGATTAAGCTTGCCTTATATATTGTATTATGTGTCAAAAACTGAATCAAAGTCCATTATTCATAGCCTCTTGCTTAAAATCTGGTAGTTTTGAGTAAAATTTCCAAATTATTTATTGACCTGTTTATTTCAAGTCTTCATTCTTGCCGTACATTATTACCTAATTATAATGCAAAATTGCAAATATAAAGCCCCGACTAACAAATTTATACCCTATTTTTTAAATGTCCCTGAGTTCTTGTGATAACTCAAAATATGTCCTGGAGTTCTTATGATAACTTTTGTTACTGCCAATGTATTTCTTGAGCTAAATCACGGCACGTTTTAGCGTTTTTATTACTCAATAAGGTTGTAAATACTTATGAAATATAATACGCTCATCCTTTGCACAAAAATGAGGATATATTGTTGGTCTTGATGGAGTGTCTGCAAAGGATAAACATGTGATAACATCTACAGTTAAGATTGAATCAGCGGCAGTATCATGGCCTAAACCACAAAACTAAAATGTCTTTAAATTTGTTTAGATAATGGAATATTAAAGTACATGTTAAATGTTTTACAAAAGAAAAAGAATCCCTGAACATGCAGTGTCCTAGGTGGCAAATTATAAACAAAATAGTATTTTGACTTCCATACAAAATACTAATTCACTATAATCATACCATTTGCCAACATAGCTAAATATGAAAAAGACAGTGCATGTACATAGCAAATGAGTATGTTTTAGGAAACTGTAACAAGAACAAACAGTTTGTGAGAAATAAAAATGATAGCATTTCTAAAGCATAATGGACCTGAAATCAAATAATTTTCATTTGACGTATTGTTTTGCACTGGTTGAGCACTTTCTATATTCTCAGCGACTACACGGGATGGGTGATCACGTGACTATTGTTTACATTTGGTAAATGCTATTTTCGTTTTATCATAATAAGCATATTCCATATTCCAGATAAATATGTTCCGATTGAAATGGTATAATAAACTCAACGAGAAGCACCAAAACACTTGAGGCATTCTTTATGGAAAAGAGAAACGCCATTTCACAAGCGGTGAAAAATAAAACCTGACCTGGGCATGCATGAAACGACTGTATTAATGGGTCGCCGAAAGCAACGGCTCACATACTTGTTATTTAACTCAAATTAATTTTTGATATAAACAATCAAGTCTCTCATCTTATTCCAACTATAAATACTAGAAAACTCCGGAAACACCTTGCAATCAATAAAACATTTTGTCTTCATTTTTTTTATTTTAAAAGTTACTAAACCATGTACATAAAAAGAAATAAAAATAATAACTAACTCACAACAAAGGAAATTTACATAAATTCACTTGGTGTCTAGCAAATTTTAGTAATATATTAAATAGGATATATTTCATTTATAAGAGGTCACTCTAGAAATACTGTTGGAGCACATTTTGAAATGTATAACGCTGCATCTTATGAATTTATTGATAAAATTTATAAACAGCAGCATTTCTTCGTTTCCATACTCCCCTCTATTCAGTCTTCGAAAGTGATACAACATACAATGTCTCTGTTATTTCACATACATAAAATTGTACATAAACAGAATAAAATTCAATTTTATTTACACCTAAATAGCAAAAGTGGTCAACAAATTCAAGCAGTTCACCATTAATAAACATTGAAAATGATGGCTTTGTTAACGTTTTTCAAATATACATATTTTTCTTTTTATAGACATTTATTTTCAAGCCCCATTTTAATGAATAACTATATACTGCATCTAAGTGGGCTTATATGCTCACTGTTGTACAGCGTCCACCGGATATAGGCCCTAAAAACACCGAAAACGAAAGTAGAAAGCTGCACACCGAGTACATCCAAGGTGATGTTTTAACTTATTTCTTCATCATAATTTCATCGATTTTTCCAAACTAAACAATTTTGTGAAGCTAAATGTTTCTAGTTTTAGAGCAATACTTGCTTTTGTTTGCAAATTGAATACTTTTTGTTCACTTGGCGATAAAATGTAGCGTATTTGTTGACATGTGAGAACAATGTTGATATTTACCACTAAATCAAGCCAAAAACGCATTTGCCTTGTCAAAAATTCGCTGTTTAACACAAACTATAGTCATCCTTCTACTTATATTTTAGTTTCCACCCTTCAATTCGAGCTGCTTTTAACAAAATTTGCAAAAAACGGCATTGCCTTGTGTACAGAGTCTAGCAAAGAAATCAAATTTAAGTGAATGGGGTGTAGTAGTTTAATGTACAGGGTTTAGTAGATTTGAACGGTGTCTAGCAGTCACATATTTTTAAAGTATAGTCTTTTATATTATTTTTAATTGGAAATAATCTCATTTCAGATTAAACATGGATAAATAAAAGGGCGATACTTATGTGGTCAATAATTTAACTTTTTATTATTTTTGAGCCTAAAATATAACTACATTTAATTCTCATTGTCAGATCATCACAACCATAAGATGAATAGTGTCTGTCGGTATTTATAAGACATGTTGAGGAGTCTTCTGACCAACTCGCTGAATGGTGATTGATATATACATGTTGTATACATAACTAACATACACATACGACATGAGGTCGATAATTGATCAGACACTTAAAAGATTATACACGAGTGTCATTTTCTAAAAAACGGCATTAGCACTGTCTATAAAACAGTTTTAGCCGCCTTATATAAGCTATTAGTCGACTTAGAATTGAGATACTTGATACCGTTTCTCTGCTACAATTTGTTGTATAGTACATATTCTTCTAGCTGACCACTGTCTTAAAATGAATAAATCACAGCTGGTAGAATCTGTACTAACTCTGCAAATGTGTCATCTTCTTGAGATAAGTCCAATACATGTCAGCATTTGTGGAAGAAACATCAGATGTACAGAATTCATTTTCATTGAGATTGCCAAATTTTATGATTTTCTTGAATGGACTATCCTTTGGTACATTGTTCCTTTTAGAAATGTGAATTTTCTTATTTTTGTCATCAATAGCTTTTGTTCGACCTTGTTCTGTACATAACTCTGCGGTCACTTTGTAGTTAATGATTTTACCAAAGCTCATTAACATATTTTTGTTTTTCAATGAAGTCTTAAGACCAGTAAACTAATAAACCAATATAACAAGTTTAGATCAAGTTTAGTTCACAATGCATAACTCGACCATGGTTTGATATTGTTTAAGACAAATTAAAGAATTTGCTGTAATGTTCTACCCATATGGATTGAAATTGCGTTTTTTTTAGTTTTACATTATTCCTATTAACTTACAGTCACGCATAAAACGTGGTCTAGCAGGACGGAAACTGTCTACTGCAATTAATATACATGCTGCGTAACATGTTTATAATCTAATTAAACATTTTTATTATCCTTTGTAAAATTTAAATCATTCACTTCACAATCGTTGCTCCCGACATTGATCGTTTTCTTCATCAGCGTACGTGTATATGCTTCGGTACTGAATTTATTTTGCAAAAAATGACATTCGTTTACCTACTACACCCGTACACTCGCTAACACTTTTCCATCAACACTCCGTACACATCCGTGCTAGACTCTGTACACAAGGCAAGGCCGTTTTTCGCAAATTTTGTCAAAAGTAGCTCGAGTTGAAGGGTGAAAACTCAAATACAAGTAGAGGGATAACTACAATTTGTATTAACGGCGGAATTTGATGCAGCAAATGCGTTTTGGGCTTGATTTAGTTGTAAATATCAACATCGTTCGCAAATGTTAACAAATTCGCTACAATTTATCACCAATATATCAAAAAAGCATTCAATTTGCAGACAAAAGCAATATTGCTCTAAAACTAGAAACATTTAGCTTCAGACATTTGTTGAGTTTGGAAAAATCGATGAAGTTATGATGAAGAAATTAAAACATTACCTTGGGTGTACTCGTTGTGCAGCTTTCTACTTTCGTTTTCGGCGTTTTTAGGGGCTATATCCGGTGGACGCTGTACAACAGTGGTGCTGTGTGGGTTAGTGGTGAAGAGCGCTATATACTCAGCAA